GGGTGTTTGATGTTGTGATGGAGGCAAGCTTGTGCCACAGCTAGTGTTGAAGAAAGCATCTCAGTAGCAAAGACGCGAAGATGATCCTCGAGCAATGACGTTTAGGCTTCGGGAGTCGGCCTTGAAATTCATTCGCACGATACGACCGCGCAGCCGAATGACGACTTGCGCGCACGGCTCGCACGACCTCTGACCGTTCACACAACTCAGCCCGCTAAAAAGTGAAGCGGCGCGCCAAAAAAAAAAGTTGGACTTTTCAGGGTCCACTGCGATAACGCATGCGAACCCTGCATGGCCGAGATTGACACAGGTGGGCCGCCTCGCCTTTGTGCCTATCACTCGGATCCTGCACTCGGGACATCATGTGCGACCTTACTTGCGACGCTTCAGCTGTGACTTACAGTAGCTCCTGATTTGCGACAAGCGATCTCCTATGCAGCCAGGAGTCCCATCCTTGATCGTGTGATAGTCCAAAAGCTCGTTCGGGTGTGATTCGGTCCAGCCGAAAGTGTGCAGAAAAGGGGCTGCTGCGCATTCATAAAAGAGCCTCCCGCACCTTTGCGGTCCTTTGTCAGTCCTCGACGTGGTTGGTCAAAGCGCTGGTGATTAGCCTCTTGACACATTGAGTCGCTTTGCGGTGACTGTGAATGTGATTTGACTGTGATCTTTTGAAGGGAAGTCGACTGCGCCCGTCTGTGTGAGTGCCTCAAGCCACGACACTCACTCAAGTCTCGCTAGTTAGTTTGCGTCTCGTGCGTTGCTGCGAAAAGGCTGAGTCAAAGATAAACGGACTCGAGTGCGGAGACTGCTTTGCGCCTCGCTCTCCCTCTCTCTCCTCTCTCCCCTCTCTTACTCTCTCCCGCTCTCTCTCCACATCCTATACATACGCACACCAACCTCCGCACTCTTACTTCGCTCCGCACCACCATCATTGCGCCGCCTTGATCTCTCGACCACGCGCCGATCCGACCATGTCTACGCTCGCCTCTCACCCGGGCTTTGAGCTCATGTGGGTCAATTCCTCGCCTACGGGCCCCACCGAGCGCATTCGCCATGATCCGCAGCAGTACTCGGCCATTCGCATCCCGCTTGGCAAGTCCAAGACCGTCTCTCGCTCCCCCCTCGAATCCGCAGCCGCCCCCGTCAACGACCTCGGCGATACGATCTTCTTCCCAGGCGCCAAGGTCGTCTCCCGCGAGCATGCCGTCTTCGAGTGGCAGGACAAGGTCCTGGTCATCAAAGACCTCGGCTCGACTCACGGCACCTACGTCGCTCGCCGTCGTGCAAAGTTCTCGGACAGCGATGTCATCGTCGAGACGGCTCCGCTCGCCTTCAAAAAGCGCGTCGACGGCCTCCTTGCTCTTGAGGATGGCGATCTCATCGAGTTTGGTCGAGACTGCCATCGCTCCGACAACGTCTACCACCCGGCGCGCTGCTACCTTCGCCTTGCTCGACCGCCCGCCCCCGCCCCAAGCATCTCGCCCTTGGCCAGGAGCGGAGCATTCAGCGTTCCAGACGATGTCCTCGACTCCGATTCCGACATTGTCAGCATCACGGGCGACGCCTTCAACCGCACCCAGATCGAGCGCACTGAAGCCCCTGTGGCTTCTGCAGCTACGGCAGAGACGCCGCACGAGGTGGTCGACCTGACCAGCGACGACGACGACGAACGCAATGACGCCAACGACTGCGATGCCACCTTCGACTCGGATGCTGCGTCGGACGATGAGCGCGCCTCTGTTTCGGATGCAGCGTTCTCCGAGCTTGGCGATGGCGTCCACGATGATATCTTCGACGACACCGACTTTGGGTCTGATCTCGACGACCCCTTCGATTTCACCGAAGTGCCGTGGCGCCACGAGATTCTCGAAGTCGTCTGCGAGCGGGAAGAGCTCCAGCGCGAAGCACTCGATGCCCAAAGGCAGGGCGAGGCCTACATGGCCGGATACAAGACTACCCAGATGCCTGACTCTCCCGCCACTTCCGTCGAAGGAGACTCTTCCATTTTCGACATTGCAAAGGCGAGGAGCCTCAGCCCCCTTGTCTCGCTCCCAAAGCAGGTTGAAACCTCTGTGGAAACATCTGCCTCCTGCGCTGTCCTCGATGCTGCTACCGGCCCTTCGGACTCTACGAACGATACTCAGCCCAAGAAGGTCGAGCCTCTCGTCCCTTTGCCCCTGAAGCGGAAACTCGACTCCGAAGATACTGCGGATGCCACTGAAGAAGTGTCCCCGGTTCCATCTGCAGCCGCCCCTACTTTGAGCCGCAAGGCCTCGCCAGCTCCCCGCGAGTCAGACGCCTCAATCACCTCCTTTGCGGCAAGTACTCCGCTTCCTCCCTCGCCCAGCAAGAAGATGCGCTTCTCGAACGATAAAGCTCAAGATGACGATACTCGCGCCGGCAGAGCTCCAGCTCGAGCCACTCCATCTCGAGCCCGCAAGATCCGGGCGATTGCGGCAAAGACTGTCCAGGTGACCAGCCTCCTTTCCGCCGGATTCTTGGCCGGATCGCTCTTCACATTCAAGAGCATGATGAATGCCGCTGCTGCCGCCAACGCTGCTGGATCTGGCAAGTAGCGTGCTCGTTCCGCTTCTGTCTCGTTCCTGATTGGTTTTGGTGGTCTTTTGTTCTCTCGTGATGCTGCTTGCAGCGGTCACTTGACCTGGTCGTCTTCTGCTCGCTCTGTTCTCAGCTCTGTTCTCGTTGTCTTCGAATCTGTTCAATAGTCTCCCTGTAACGCAATGCATTCCTGTATCCTGATACAGTACGTCTGTTTGAGCAGCTTTCCTGACGACGTTGCACTGAATATGAGCCGTGCTGCGGCTGAGTGGGAGCCGCGGCGACGCCGCTCGGGCCGCACACGCAACTTCACATGCGTGAAGGGCACAGACCTCTCTGTGACGATGTGACGAGGCGTGTGTAGCGCATTCTTCCCCTTTGTTGTCACACCCTGATCACTTCATTTGGTGCGAACTTGTGTATTTATCGTCTCGTTTCGACTTGAGTTGAAGTAGGCTCCTTACCACCACCTTCTCGTTGAGCTCGATCCGTCTCTCTCCTGCTGATCTCGCCACACGTCGTCATTTCAAGCATCGGCACCCTCGCCTCATCGTAACAATGCCAATCACGGCCGAAGAGAATGGTGCGGTCCAAGCTCCTCCACAGATCACAGTCGTTTCCAAGTGGCTGCCGAACGCCGTCGGTTCACAGAGTTCTCATTCTTGGTTCCACGGGACAGGAAGTCAGGAACCTCTCATGCCTTTCGACCAGCTTCCACCCTCCAAGCGCGGGAGCCAGGGACAGGGTCTTGGACCGGGTGTCGTTCTTTACAAGGTCCCCAAGTCAGTCAAGCTGACCGACACCCAATCCAAGTTGCAAGCGGCGAAAGCGATCCACGAGCAACTCGAACAACTTCATCCCACGATCGAATGCGGAAGCGTTCATTTCGAGGAGCTTGAACATTGGACACGAATGGAGTTCACCTGGCCTGAAAGATTTGAACACAAGACGGCGTTGCAGCTGCAGGGCCAAGCTCTGACATTCATAGCTCGATCTGCTATTACCCATAACAACGAGATCACCATTGCTGTGTCCAGGGTCCCAGAACACGATATAAGGGCCGTCACAGCCAGTCTCAAGCGCGCCATCAGCCCGCATGAGATTTTGGATGTATGGAAGACAGAAGCCCGGTACACCCTTCCCGTCACGGGCAGGTTGCAGACGAATTTCACAGGCGACCTCTACATGCTCGTCAAGCTCGACTTGCGCGATGGACAAGATGGCGCAAGAGACGCCGCATTCGAACTTCCTGGTTGGGTTCTGGGAGAAAGCAAGTACAAGCTCAACTATGTCCATCGTCTTAAAGACCACTGCACACACTGCAAAAGTATCCGTCGTGGCCCCCCTCATACCTATGTGCTTTGCCCGAAACGATATCGAGACTAGACGGCTACGTCTTTCGATGCTTCCATCGGATCGAGCATGGCTATGGAAGATGCGTTCCACTCGATGTCTCGCCTGTTTCGAGGTCGTACGGAGAGAGGGAGGTTCACTTAAAGTTATCGTTTCATGCGTCCGAAGATCTTGGGCATGCTAGACTTGGAGGCTTGTCTCGAGTACATCTCATTACAAGCTTTCTTGTTTGTCCGGAAATCAATGTCTCGCTTTCCGTTTGTCCGTGCCATGCAGTGTCTTTTTCCTGCTACTGATTGACTCTGATGTTGAGCAAGAATCTTCAAAGCGTCTCTCAACAACGAGCTCGCTACCCACATCTCGGCATCATCGAGTTGAAGGTGCAGGCTGAACTTCACATCGGATCTAGAAGATGTGCATGGACGACGAAAAGCAGACTTCTGTGCCTCCTGAAATCCTCTCGAAGCTCTGAGGTTTCCGACGCTCTTGGGCCGCTGCCTGCCCCTATCTTGTTCTACTCAAGCCGCGAGGGCGCTCGAATGGCCAGGCTATGCACAATATCACGCCCATTGTTACATAGACACACGGGCCCAGTTCTGCGAATATAGGTCGCGCCCCGGTTGACGGCAGATAGGGCGGCGGGCCGTCCCGAGATGAAGGAGCCGAAGTCGATAGGAAAGAAGCAGATATATACCCTCTCGACACCAGCTCTTACGCATACTACTGTCCCACCACCTCTGTCTCTCTCCTTCTCCCTCTCAGCTCCTTATCTGACCTTCTTCACCTCCTCGTCTTTCCTCTCTGTATCATCGATCTGCTCTTCCTCTCCACTGTCTGACGACGCAGAAGGAGGTTAGCTGTTTGAGGACATGGTCAGTGAGGATGAGTGTGAGAAGTAGAAAGATGAGGAGAGGTCGCGACGACGACTTGGTGGTGTGAGTGTGCTGTTCAGGGTATGCGTCTGTCCTTCTGAGACTGAAACGAAAGCGTAAAGATGGTGTGGGATGTCAAACCTTCATCGCGGGATGCCAATTTTCTACTTATATATGCTTCCCCGCTCCGACCTAGTATAGAGGGAGAGCATCTCTGGGGTTGTAGCTCAGTGGTAGAGCATCTCATTTGCAATGAAGCTCCTATGTTTCAGTTCTAAATTTGAGAAGGTCTGGGGTTCAATCCCCCACGGCTCCACTCTTTTTTCCACTTTTTCCTTCGGCAGATCTCTTTTTGCACTTTTTGACACCACCTTTTTTTTTGCCTTCTTCCACAGATGTTTGCCGTTCGTATTCATCCAGAGAGAGTCAGGTTGGGGTCAAAATCCGGTGCATCACACCTTCGGACTGCCGTCTGATTGGCTACGAGCAGCCTTGCTGTGCAGAATGCTCTGGGCGGGTGTGCTCTCACGGTCTGACAGGCTGTCGGACTCAGCGCAGCGGTCTTTTGGTGTCCTGGATGGGACATTTCGCACATTGCTCACAGCTCAGTTGCACAGTTTTCGAAACGAGTCAAGAGGGAATGCTCCGTCGTCTCCGATTCTGTCTGCATCGAGAAGGACGCTTCGGGTCCGTCTTGGCGCGCAGTCACTTGGTGGTCCGCGGCGACACGGATGGAGCTTTGAAGACACGCTTCTCTGAGCATGTGGGTTCGCTTTTGCGCTTGTCGTTGTTAAACATTGATTTCACCGGCGTGTCTTGTCACCTGCGCCTCTGCATGTTGAGACAGGTCTCTGACAGAGGAAGGAAGCATGCGCAGCGCGAAGCACACACGCTGATCGTCGTCTTTCCCTTTCATGCTCTTCTGCAAATCATGGATCGCCTCAACACCAATTTTTCCGTTCTTCACGACGATGCAACACCCTGCTTACCTGTCCGCCTCCGCACATACACGGACTCTCACACTCTCTGTAACGTAAATCATAACATTCGTATCACCACTCTCCGCCAAGCATTGTCGCCTCCTCCGTTGTGGCGGCGTGTTTGGCTCTCAGTTGTCCCGCTCCGAGCCGCAGCAAAAGGTGTGCAATCCGCCCATCTCATTCGCGTCGTCGAACCAAACCTTAAACTAGAAAAGTGGCTGTCGTGTGAACCCACCAGCTGCAACTGCGCATCTCATCCCGCAAAGACGTGAACAAATGAAAAGCTCATCAAAAAAGTCTTCGGAGAGCTCTTGTTCATGTGGCTGAGCTTGCGAGGCGCAGCAGAGTGCGCTCGGGCCTGCTCTCCGCTCCTTCTCCACAAAGTCACTGCGCACGACACAGAGCGGACGAGTCGGCTTGTCTGACTGATCTACGGCCAAGTTGATTGCTGCGCTTGGGCCGACCTAACTGGCTATAAGAAGAGCACCGTCCCTTGACCCCGCCCTTTCCTTCTCTTCCCTCTCCAGCCAAGCTTCTCTCCTTCATTGGATGCACACCGACCGGCGCTCCTCCCCAGCCTTCACCACCATCCACATTACCACCCATCAAAGCATCAAGATGAGCGCCGCCTACAAGTACCGCCTCCTCTACTCGCAGGGTGGCAAGCCATTCATGAGCGGCGAGGACCTGTACTTCGAGCTCGAGACGACCGGCATTCCTCCCGGCGGCGTCCGTTGGCAATTTTCCATGCGCTACCGACCCACCAAGTCGAGCTACCGCGACGTGCTGCTCGAGAACATCCTCGCCATGTGCAAGAAGCACAAACTCACCCCACTCGAGATCCGACACCCGCTGCCGCAAGGCGGACGCGGCTTTGTCGATGTCATCTTTGCCAAAGGCGAAGACGTGCTCAAGGTGTACGAGGGCGAGATCACGTTTGACTTTTACGGCTCCAAGCCCGAGCTGGTCGACCGCGCTATGCCTGTTCGCAAGCACGTTGCCCTGTGCATCCAGACGCTGCCCTCTTCCTCCAACCTTGGTGAGGTGCTTGCTGCGGTGAAGGCCGACGCCAGGATCCAAGAGACCGGCAATGTTGTCGATGTGTGGTCGCTGCACTGCCCTGACTCGGACCTGTTCAAGGGCAAAGTGCTGGTGCTGCTCGAGCTGGCCACGCAGAACGGCGTGGTGCCTCTCAAGGCGCGCGCTTCCATCCCCGGCTGGTTTGTGTTCAACGAGGTTGCCTACCTGGTGCGATTTCCCGACCGACCCCAGTGGTGCTTCCACTGCCGTTACGATCAAGACGGATCGTTCCACAGCATCCACACGTGCCCGCACAACCCATGCAGCTCGTGCAAGAAGAAAGGTCACACTGCCGTCGACTGCGCTACTCGCCGGGCGCAGATCGCCAAAAAGAAGCGAGGCGACGCGAGGGCCGATGCTTCGAGCGATGAAGACGACGACGACGACGACGACGACGACGACGACGACGATCGCACGCCTAGGGCGACTTCGGAGGCTCGGGCGTCCATGGAACGCCGATTTGCCGAGCTTGGCATCCGAGGTGATAGCGCCGAGGCGGAAGAGCTGGCTCAAGACTTTGGCGTCCTGGCTCTGTCTGAGAGCGATATCGGCAGTTAGGTGGGGTTGGGCAAGTGAAAGGAGTCTTTGAAAGACGAAGTGGCAGTTGTTTGTGTCCACCCTTCGAATCCAAAAACGTTTGCTGCGACAGATCAGCGTGTCTGTGGACTCTCTTGCAAGGCTGCCATGTGAGGTTTGACGTGCATCGAGAGCTCTTCGGCCGGTGCATGTGTTCGCTGCGAGAAAGGATCTGATGCTGGACTGGCGTCTGTGCGTTGGTTGATGGCTATCGATGTGAGAGCGGACCTTGCGAGCGCTGACGATCTGGACAGTGGAGTCGGCGAGGCAGTTGTGCTGCCCGGATCGGTGGGAAGGCGTTTGGGCGGCTTCTTCGAGCTGCCCCTTTCCGGCGCGATGATATTGCCGACAGACAGCCTGGAAAACGGCTCTGCATCCAGCACATGGTCCAGCATATCGCCCATCTGCAACGAGCGCGAGTTGGGCAGCGGCGACGTCGAGTGTGTATCCTGCCGAAGCGGCGTGTGGTCGATCTTGCCAAACACGTCCTGCCCGTTCGCTGCCGTGGGCGTGCGAACTTCACCGTGCAGTGTGCTCGAAGGCCGCGGCGAGACGAGGTCGCTTCCGTGCGGCTGTTGGGAGGCGGTGGGTGTGTCGTGGAAGAGGAGCCGCGAGGAGGGCGGGTGGAACGGGCTGCTTTCGATGCTGCTTGTGGACGTGCTGGTGCTCATGTCCATGAGCATGGGTGTGGGCATGGTTTGGAAGGCGTGGCGCGGTGGCGGTGAGAGGGAGGCTTGTCGCGTGCCGTTGGTGGTAGTGCGTGAGGAGGAGGCGGTGATCGGTGGGGGCGATTCGAGGGTTTGGGTGATCATCGTGACTTCGGATGGTCCGTTGGGGTGAAGCCTTTCAGATTGCTGTTGCGAGAGTCGATGAATGCAGCAGCAGATTGCGAGTTGCGCCGTCGCCTTGATTGATGTCGGAGACCTTCCGTGTGTGCGCTGTATGCTCGAGTGCAAGTGGTATCAGGTGATGAGAGGATGCTTCGGTTGTGGAAGAGGAGAAGAATGCGCAAACGGAAGAGCCGCCAAGCGCTGAACCAAGTTAGTGCGTGATCGTCGGTTCGAGCCGAGCAGCTGATCCCATGCAACCGATCGTGCCGCCAGCCTCTTCGCTGCGGGCTGCAAAGTGGTCAGCCTCGAAACGGCATGCAGGGTTCACTTCGAGGAGGTTCGGTCTTGGATGCAGCACATGCAGATGTCAGAGCGAGCCAGGCAGCCCTTTTTTGTTGAGCTGTGCTGTCCGATCGATTCGGTGCTGCCGACACTTGCGGTACACAGTGTGCTTCTGTGATGCGCGGCTGCGGAGGTGCTTCTGCGAAAAACGAACTCGGCAGACCAACACTTGCTGCTGCTGCTGCTGCAGCAGAACAACACCTCGGACTGCAGCCCCGAAGTGCGAACACAAGGCTCGTCGCGTGCCGCGCTGATCTGCGAGGAACAGCGAGGTGTCCCAAAACAACACAAACAACAAACAGCCGCATCGCGTGAGTGTGCGAGCTGAGTGAGGCTGCAGAGATTGAATTTTCGAGAATTCTTCGAAATTCATGCTGCGTTGCCCTGTCTCTCTCTCTCTCACGATCGACCTGATTTGGTTCCCGATCCTCTGATTCAGGTCGAACTCGTTGGACCCTGAAGTGTCGATTTCTTCTTCTTGACGTCGACGAGGAGCTTTTCATCCCTCTAGCCAATTCACCGATTGCTCATTTGTCCGCTGCCGGTCCTGCAAAGATGGGCTCGCCTTGAGGACGCGATTCAGGATGGCGCAGCTCGGCGAGGACGTCGACGACCCGTTCTTGCTGCTGCTTCGGCAACGTGCGATCCAGTCACGAAACCAGCAGAGCATCCCGTTCCAGCAGCACCACCAAGGACAGCAATGGCCAAAGCGTCTACTGCAGCCTCCTTCTGCCGGCGAGTTCCAAAAGATCATCGAAGATCATGTTCCTGTGCTCATCGATGGCTGCATGAACGATCGTCCCGGTCTCACAAGATGGAAGGACACGAGCTACCTCGAAGCACGCATGGGACCCGATCGAAGCGTGGTCGTGGCCATCACTCCGGATGGTCGGGCGGACGACCTCATCTCCTATCCTGAGCATGACGGCTTGGTATTTGCGCTTCCTTTGGAGCAGAGCATGCCATTCTCAGAGCTCTTGCATCGACTGTCGAAGCAGGTGCACGGCAAAGCAGACACCATCGCCTACCTTCAATCCCAGAACTCGAACCTGAGCGTAACAGAATACGGAGATCTGTCGCCCCTCTTGCAGGATCTCGAGCTGCGCACAGGTACGCATCAGCCCGAATCGGACGGCAAAATGGGCAGCGACTTGCCATGGGCGACGGAAGCGATTGGCTACCCTCCGGAAGCGACCAACATCTGGATCGGCACCTCTGCGTCGCGCACGTCGATGCACAGGGACTACTACGAGAACCTCTTCACCGTGGTACGAGGCTGGAAGGAGTTCACCGTATACCCTCCTGCCGAAGCGTGCTTCCTGTGCGATGACGAAGAGTATCCCGTATACAAGTACGTCAAGGATCCCCACCAGCAGCTGACCCTGCAGAAGGACGACGAGGGCGCAACAACAAGGTGGATCCCCATCGACCCGACTCAGCCCAAGCAAGCGGACCGCAATGCGCCCTTCGTCCATTGTGACCTCAACTCGACGTTGACGCCAGAAACA